CACAAATTGAATAAATATATGTAAAGAAAACTTATAGGAAAAATAACCTGATGTATAGATAAAAACTTTAGCAGCAGTGTGTAATCATAATTTTTTGCCAGATTTTTTTATTTTTTTTTTATCATAACTCGAATGGAATATGTTGGTTTTATAATTTTTAATTAACTATTTGTAAAAGCTACGTAAGAAATTACTATTTTTTTGTGAAAAGAAAATTTATTTGTATATTATTATGAAATACTACGTAGTACATAAATAAAGAGTGATAATGCGCAAACCTATAGACTTCATCAAAGGTGAATTATCTCCCCTATTAAGACCTGTGGCCCAAGAAGGCTTCGTCAAATTTTTGTTCCTTTTTCCAATTGGGCTTGATCCATCTTAATTAATTCATTTCGGCTCACTAATCAACTTGGAAAATTAGTCATCTCTTTAATTGGGTCTCTGTTTGGGGATAAGAAACTTGGGCTATATCATACATTCATCTTTACTTGTGCTCGTCTAAGTAGCTCGACTGACCACAACTATTTCTCCATGCTTAGTGGTTGTCTTCCTTTGTTTGAAGGAAGCAAGATAACAACAAACTCGTCTCAAAAAAATCGTTCACATTAAATTTTGTGTTTTATATCGTTTTTTGTACAAATTTAAAAACTTAATGTAAACTATTTTTGTGGGACAGAAATAGTACTATTTATATGTTTTAACAGCTAAACCATTTCTTATTTGGGAAATGATAAGTACATTGAAAAATAGTGATTTTGATGTAGTGATCGATGTGTAAATTTATTATTGATAGTTTTTATGATATTAAAAATTATTTCTAAAAGATTAATCACATCAGTCAATGTATCAATACAGTGATTTTTTTTTCTCTATTATCATAGTTTCTCTTATTTTCACTTATTTTCTTCCAAAAAAATAAATTTATGTTTGTGTAACTTCTTCTATTTAATTTTAGGTTTTCGTAGTTCTCTTTTTTATGTATTATTATTAATAAAACAAACATTGTGTAATTTATATAGATTGACCAACTTTTTATTACCAACATAAATTTAAATTAAGACCGACAACTGAACGAGTATAGATGAAATGAGGAGCCTACTTCCACTTACACAAGTTACATCATGGAACAGTTTCGCATTCTTCTTGATCACCTAGCAACTCCCTTTCCTGATGGGCAGGTTTTTTTTGCTCACTAATTAGGTGAATCCGTTTTCCTAATCTTTCTTCCCTATCAACTATAAATTGATTTTAAAAATCATACTTTTTTCCATTTTAATACTATATTTTAATACTATATAATTCAATTATTACATTATTTTAATTCAACAATAAACTCTGTTAAAACAGACACGGGAGAATAACGTATTTAACTCAACAATCAACATGTTAAGTCACCCACTAATGAAACTCTTACATTTGATTGGTTAGTTTACATTAACTTTGCCATTTTGAAAGGGTGTCACCTTTCTATAGTAGTATAGAGTGTAGACGGGATGACATTGGTGATCAATCTCATTTTCAAACTCTCCCACAGTTTGATTCCTACTATGTATAGATGACAAATACACAAAGCATTGAAAAATTTTTGTCAATTTTAATTTCCCCACTTTCTGGATTCTCCTAGGTTGGGATCCAATGAACAAATGATTTTGTTTTCCTCTCGAGGTTTGAAATATTTTTCTTCACGTTCAGTTTGAAAATGATTATAAAATATAATTCGAGTACGATGATGACATGAAATCCATATAGCTGACTCTACACGTGAGAAATAAATTACTATTATTATTGTTGTAATATTGTTATTATAAGTTTAAAACATTTTATCAAATAAAACGGTAACGAAAAAGTTATATAATCTAGGTTCAACAACTATATCACATCACAATGAAATGGTGATGAAATACAATTTTTTAAAAAGACAAAAAAAAACTAATCAGTGAATTTTCAAGTAAATATTAGTCAAAATTTTATCGTAGTTGATCATCACTAATGAAAATATTGAATATGTTAATAAGAAAGGAGTATATATCACAACATATTTTCAATTGATGATTGATGAGGAATTTTTTTTTTATTGTGGAGAAGGGATTGATTAGGGAGTCGATTATCGTGGAGATGGGGATGAGGATTTAGGTTTTTTTTGAACCCGTGGTTTTTTTTTTTTGTTTTGGTGAAAATAGGAGGTGGAGGTGGATTTGGACCGCATTTGCCTTTTAAGTCTAGGAGATGTGTGAATAAAAATTTATTTTAAAAATATGATGTGGAAATGACACATGGTAAATGGTGGTGCTTTCTCTTAAGTGTGGTTTTTGTTTCTAATATAGTAAGATATATGTATATACCAAGTATATATGTATATATAGTTTTATATATACAAAAAAACACATCCCTCCAAAAACATAATAATAATAATAATAATAATAATAATAATAATAATAATAATAATAATAATAACAACAACAACAACAACAACAATAATAATAATAATAATAATAATAATAATAACTCAGCAAATTTATTTGTTTTTCTGGATATTAGAGCAACTCCAACCATTGCATTATAATTTACACCAAATTTATTGTAAAAATAGAATATTCCAAACATCTTTTTATACTAAAATGTCTTCGCACTCTAACTTTGATACACCAAATTTGTAAATGTTATAATTTAAATTGTATTTTCATTGTTAAAAATCTTATAATTTGTTACAAATTTTATTATATAGGTTATTTCATAATTATTTTAATTTAATTATAAAAGTATCAAATTTTTCATATTTATTTTTAATAATGACTAAATTTATTTTTTAAAAAAATAAATAAATATTATAGTCAATATAGGTTTTATTTTGAAGATCTCAACGAGATTTTAATATGATATAGATTTTATAATCTATTCATTTTTTAAGTTTAATCATATAAAAAATAGTGTGTTTAACGAAAAAAAAAAGTTCACAAAGATTGTACAATTAACAGTTTACACCAAATTTGATGCAACATTGCACCAAAATGGTAAACTGATTTAGTGTCTTCATTTGAGTGCAAACTCTACACTAAAATACCAAATTTTAATATATTTTGGTGTATTGGTTGGAGTTGCTCTTACTGTCTTTTTTCTTTCTTAGCGATTCCGATTCTTATTGAAATATCTCTATTGAAGTTTCAATAGTTAAACGTTAAAGAGATGATATAACAAAAGTTAAGAGTAATTATATTTCTTCTGTCACGAAATTATTATTTAGTTTCAATTATATTAAAAATAAAATTGTAAACTTCACAATTATTTTAAAACATAAATTAAGAATGCTCTGTAAATATTTGTGAAACAAAAAACCACACAATCTTTAGATCGGATAATCCATCCGAACATGGAATTCTATAAAATTGCATTCTCCCTTGAAATATAACTCTACCTTAATGAGGTAAAAGACAGTATAAGATGCATATTATGATAAAGAACGATTGGATAAAATTTCAACTTCAAAAAATATTTTCTTTACCTTTTTATATAAATATAAAGGAAAAAAAAAATTCTCATTGATCTTGCTTCGGCCGTTGTGGTGGTGCAATTACAGGTATTAAAATTTAAATAATTTTATTTCCACAGATAATTTGTTTGGCTTTTATTATTTTCTGTTTTTCCCGTTCAAGAATAGTGTTATTAGTATTATTTTTATGCGTCCATCCATTACAGGTACCCTAGCCGTTATCAGGTAATGTGATGTGATTTCTTATATCGTTAATTAACCTAGAATTTTGTATGATTTTAGTTCTGTTTAGATTGAATTGATTAATTGAGTTTTTGTTATAAAGTGTGGTTTTTAAATTTTATTTTTTATGTTTCATTCAATTAGAGTGGTTTTCTTTTTTTAATTATGGAATCTCAGTTTTTTTTTTGTATATGGTCAGTTATGAAATGTGTTTTTTCTTTGTTTAATTGCTTTTGATTTTGTTTCATATTCCTAGTTGACCAATTATTATTATTATTATTATTATTATTATTATTATTATTATTATTATTTTATTTACAAATAAAGCGTTTTTTTTTTTTGTTCGAGCTTTCAAGAATATACTTTTTTGGATTTGGTTTTTGGACTTTTTTTAGTTCCTCATCATATAAATAGTTCAGGTCGCTTCTTCTAACTAATTTATGAGGAAGCCTTTTATGAATTTCAGGCGGAGAAGGAAGGAATGATGTTTCTATGTTTATTTGTGTTTTTATACATCATTTTTACCAACAGAAAAAAATAAATTTTTCCATTTTTAATGGGCTATCTTTTACTCTTTTTTTTTATTTGCCATGGTGAGGTGAATTCTTTTTTGCTATAACTTGAAACCTATGCAAATTTACATTATTTTCATTCTCATATTTGTGATCAACCAGTTTCAACATTAACCAGTTTCAAAATCATATTTTTGATATTTTATTACCTATAAACTTTTAGAAGAAATAATTCCAATAATTAAGCGTATACCCTTTGGAGGAAGCTTACTACAAAGCTATTATAAATCTTCAAAACTAAGTATTGATTTGGCACAACCAATGGAGAACATCAATAAATTATTTACTAATATTTAAATTTATTAGGATGCTTTTATATTTTGTCTAGTATTTAATTCAAGACAATATTTGATCAAGTTTATTTATATTTAAGAAGTAACACTTATAAAATATTTCTAAAATTTTTAAACATTTCTAAAACGTACCGGACCAAATACAATTTTTTTTTATGTCAAATACAAACATTTCTATGATCACACTTATAAAACATTTCTAAATTCTTTAAATATTTCTAAAATATATCAGGCTAAATACAAAATATTTTTTTTCTATATACAAATATTTCTAAGATATATTATGCTAGGGTCGCGCAATGCGTGACCAGACATCACTAGTACCAAAAAATAAAAGAAGAAAAGAAGAAAATGACAAATTGGGTGGATAAAAATAAGAATTTGATTGTCCGTAGATAACACGAAATACGTTGTCAAAAATAAGAAAATAGAAATATAATACTCTACAAACCTTGAAATTGGTGAGAGTGTTTTTATAGCGCAAAAACTGCTTCTCTGGCTTTTCTCCTCTGCCTGTCACCTGAGAGAGTCTGAGCGCCTGAGCGTGCGTGACGACACTCTTTCCATTAGCCCTTCTTCGCAATTCAAATTCCCCCATCCCTTTCCCTCATTAAATGATCATTCACACGATAATGATGGGCTGGTTTTTTACTCCTCTCATTTAATTTGCTGTTTTTTTTTTCTTCTGTGATTTATCGCCTTTTCTTGCTGCTGCTGCTGTTGCTGGCCCAGATTCCTCCTCTGTAATTTCCAGCTGCAGAAGAATTGATTCGCGATCCGTTATTTATTGTAAGATTTGGGAAACACAAATAGTGGGATAGGTGGGTTTTGTTGTCTTAAGCCGCGAGTGAGTTGCGTTTGGAGAAGAAGCTATGGCGAATTTAGCGGCAGCTGTTATAGTGCCGTTGGGCTTCCTCTTCTTCATGTCTGGCCTTGTTATCAATCTTTTTCAGGTGCTTGTTTATCTTTGTTTATTTTCTTTTCCTGGGTTTTAGTTCGTTGATGGTGGTTCGATGATAATTTTAGAAACTAGGGCTTGTGGAATCATCATGGGATTTGATTTTGAGTCAGCTCATTTTGAAGTTTTACAATTAGGGTTTGTTTTTATTGGAATGGTTTAGTTCCAAAGTTGGGTTCCTTTCTCATCACCACGAATTTCTTGTGAATATCGATCTTTAGCATCTTATTTTTTCCATGTGTTTACTGGGGAGGTTAATTTGTCAGCGAGAGAAATGCTTTGATCTTTACACGTAGTTGCTACTTTAGTGAGTAAAGTGGTAATTTTGTTTTTGGCCCTTTTCTGTCCAAATGGCAGGCGATGTTTTTTGTGCTAGTGAGGCCATTATCAAAGAGTACCTACAGGAGGATAAATAGAGTGTTGGCTGAGCTACTGTGGCTGGAGCTCGTATGGATTGTTGATTGGTGGGCAGGAGTTAAGGTAAGAGTTGGTTACTTCTTATTACCGAGGAAATCTTAAGAAAGTTATTTTGCCCGGAGGTGTTAGTGTTACTATGGACTCTGATGCAAATAATGTTCAACTGTGTCTTGGTACTTTACAAAGTTCTATAAGCGTCCATGTTTGCCTAAATACTGTATTTGTGTGGCTGCATATGAATGTCATTCGTGGAATAAATCATTCCTAAACTGTGTGGATTGTTCATTAAAATATTATACTTTCCAGAACGTGCCACTGTTTTATATTTGCTGCACAGGAGTCATTGCCTTGTTTGATAAATGAGCAGATCTGGTTTAATGAGAGCCTTTCATTTATAGTGAACTATTCGAACCTATGTCTAACAGACTAACTAAGTTTGTTAAAGGATCTAAGGTCCCCTTTTTCTTAGCAGTCACTGAATTAATTATAACCTAATTTATCATCTGCTAATTCATCCATCCCTTCATATACTTGTAAAGAAAAGATGGCATTATTAAGTATGCATAAGCCGTGCAATTTCTTGTCACTGTCTTAATGTGGTTGGACTGATGGCTAAATTTGTTTATGAACTTTGTTTAATCAAAAATGGAGTGGGATGAACAGGGTCCTTAGAATAGCAAAAATCTCTTTTCTGATATTAATTGGAGTTGTAGTTGACTGTACAAAGTGTACCTTGCTTCAAAAATTGCTCAGAAAATGTGGTTTCATGGTTCTTTACTTTTACCTAAATGCCTTAGCCTGTCAATTTATTTGTGTGTTTGTTCCTGCAGATTCAACTCTACACAGATCCTGAAACATTTGAAATGATGGGTGAGTTAAAAGTTGCTTTGGGGTTTTGATTATCTTCTGCTTCTGTTGACTCTTAACCTTTTCGTTATCCATATAAGGTTTTAGGTTGACTGATCCAGTTTTATTGTTTAACATGTTCAGGTAAAGAGCATGCACTTGTTATATCTAATCACAGGAGTGACATTGATTGGCTTGTTGGATGGGTTTTGGCTCAGGTTGGCTATCTGTGCTATCTAATTTAGTTTATGCTTTTATTATTCTCCTCAAGTTTTTTTGGTTGTTTTGCATTTTTGTCGCCACAATTAGTCGAGTTTACCATCTTTCTGAAAATAGAGATGTGAGCTTTGCAAGGGATACTTTTGGACCGCTTTATATTTGAAAAAAGATAGACAAATTTGAAAGATGTCCAATTTTTTTTCCTTTTTGTTTTTTTCGTAACATTTCATGCTGTACGAAGCTTTAATCTTGTAATTTGAATGACAGCGCTCAGGTTGCTTGGGTAGCACATTGGCAGTCATGAAGAAATCATCAAAGCTTCTTCCAGTAAGGACTTTTATCTTGACTCTGATATATATAACTAGGTAATATTGTTACCTGATTGTCCTACTATCATTGAAATTGTTGACGAACACCCTATGCAACAGATAATAGCTAGTACTGTTGCCTGATTATCCTACCATTTTCATAGAAATTGTTGACAGACTCCCTATGTGGGAGATACTCCATTACGTGCATTGCAAGGAAAATGTATCTGTGATACTGCTTATCTCCATTTAAGCTGCATTACATTTCACCTACTTCTGTAATGTCAATTCAATATCATCTGTGGGACGGAACACAACACAAATGTGCATATTGCTTCATAAAAAAACTTCAGATCTTTGTGTCTCTGTAATTCTTATAGGGCATGCCTGTGCTTCTAGTGGAGCTTGAATTGTTAATTACAGATTTATCATGCACTTCTTTTCGTCAATAGTCATCTTGCTTTGAAATGGTGCGCCTAGGTCAACAACTAAATAAGCATGCCTTAAATTGCTTCATTTTTTTGGTGCTCGTTTTCCTTTTTTCTTTTCTTTTCTTTCTTTTTTTTTTTTTTTAATTCACTTTACTCCCTATGTGCAGGTCATTGGATGGTCCATGTGGTTTTCTGAATATCTTTTTCTGGAAAGGAACTGGGCCAAAGATGAGAGTACTCTGAAGGTAGGCTCAACTTAAGTTCTATTCCAATTGTTTTTAGTCAAAGATGTTTATGGGTGTCAGGTTCGGGGTTATATTTTATGCTGGCTGTTCGGCCGGTTTTTGTTTTCTCCTGATTGACTTTGGCTGAACCACGCGCTTCTCTATCTGCAGTCTGGCCTTCAACGGCTGAGAGATTATCCTCTGCCCTTCTGGCTGGCACTTTTTGTCGAGGGAACCCGTTTTACTCAGGCAAAGCTTTTAGCTGCTCAAGAATATGCTGCATCAGTCGGGCTGCCTATTCCAAGGAACGTTTTGATTCCTCGTACTAAGGTTGGACTACATGCACTCTTCCCATAATAGAGTCAAACACATATCATGACTGTCATACTCATTAACAGTTTACAATCAATCTTGAGTTTTCTTGTCTGAAATTTCTCTTTTTTAAGGTTAAAAAATAATAATAATAATCTTCAATTTCGCTTGATTAGTTTTCCATGTTTTCTATCTTAAAGTATGTCGAAAGTTTTATTTTGCATGCATTGGTGCACTCTATGTGGACGTCAATGATGTTTAGAGTGTGATATTATACCTTTTCTTTTATTTTTTATTGTTCTTGGTCACTTTCTTATAATTTTATTTCTTGTTCATCATCTTACGAGGATTTCTTACTATTCTTGGAATCGTTGATTTAATTTGCAAACCCTCTACTCCCCTTTTCCCTGATCAAGTTAATGCAAATTTTACGAGCGCTAATATTGGAGAAGATGTAAAGAGATAAAAAAGGGCATGTAGCTATGAATACCTGTTTTATGGTACCTGTCTCAGTGAGAAAGAGCCTCTTATCTAAATGTGGCTTTAAATGCCCTGTGAAATATATTGCAATTGTATGTCCTTTTTTGAGCTCATCAATGTAACCATTGTTGCCTTTGCCATCTTCTACCACTTTGTAGTGGGATCCTCTATTGTACTGACCTAGTGTTCTAAAATTTTGCATCCAGGGATTTGTTACAGCTGTAAGTCACATGCGCTCATTTGTTCCAGCCATTTATGATGTCACAGTTGCCATTCCCAAAAGTTCTCCAGCACCAACAATGCTTCGACTCTTCAAGGGGCAATCTTCTGTGGTAAGCATTAAAAGTTCTCATCTGGAACATCTGGTTTTGTTTTGATTATCCTTACCGTGGGCTCTTTACCAAATGTTTTGAAGTTAAAATCATATTGCTGTAATTTTTTAAGAACTCAACTTCTGGTTATAAGATACACTGTATGATAATCCTTGTGAACTTTGCAGGTTCATGTACATCTTAAGCGGCACTTGATGAAGGATTTACCTGAGACAGATGATTCTGTTGCTCAATGGTGTAAAGATGTCTTCGTAGAAAAGGTGCTGGCTATCTTCCTGTAATTTTAGTTTTCAAAAATTTCTTTTGTCAATGATTGTTTACTCAGATCCGAGCCTCGCTTTTGTGACGTTAGGAGTCTAATTTTGCGTTTTGCTCTTTTCTCCATGATGTTCAACCAGGATAAACTATTGGACAGGCATATAGAGGAACAGAGTTTTGGGGATCAACTGCTGAGAGACATTAGGCGTCCAGTGAAATCACTTGTGGTTAGTGCCCATAAGCTGTACTGCAGTATATCATAATGACAAGTTCTTTTCATCTGCGTCCCATTTTGGGTCGAACTAACTGTTAACTGCATGTGTAACAACAGGTGGTGGTTTCTTGGGCCTGTTTGCTTTGTTTTGGTGCCGTAAAGTTCTTGCAATGGTCAGCCCTTTTTTCCACGCGGAAAGGCATCGTGCTCTCTCTAGTTGCTATGGCAGTAGTTACAGCGTTGATGCAGATATTGATTAGATTTTCTCAGTCAGAGCGCTCAACGCCTGCTAAGGTTGCCCCTGGAAGGCCCAAGAGGGATGGAGATCCTTCAGAAAGTGTACAAAAGCAGAACTGAAACGCCCCGAGTCTGATCTTGTGTTGGGAGGACTTGATTAGCTTGCCTTATTCTGATAACATTTTGGACGTGAAAATGTGTATGATGCGGGATGTCTTTATATTTGTAATTTTTATTCTATCTATAGCTAAAGTTTGCCTCGACTTCAATTTTTTGGGTATGAGAATAGGGATTTGAAAGTCTATTGATCTTTGTGTACTCTGTATATGAAGTAGAGAGTAAAAGATGCCCTCAAGGCTTTGGTCGCTTGTGATGCTGGATAATCAACTTCTTTATTTATAGAGTTGTTAATTTATTGATTATTACTCTCTGTCCCAAAATTATTGTATAGTTTGAAATTTCACTTTTAGTACAATTTGAACTAGAAATGAAAATTTAAACTGGACAATAATTATGGGACGGAGGGAGTATTATATGATTTTCGACTTCCTTTTTCAATGGGGAAAAAAATAGAGACATAATGAAATTGGAAAATAATTAAAGTGATTATTCCGGGTACTAATAGGATTATGGGAGAACAGGTAGTTAAATTCAGAATCGTAATAGGATTGATTTCTTCCTATTTAGTAAATCAGATCTCTCTATAAATATGAGAGATTTGAGAGCAGAAAATTATCTTTCCCTTAGTTAATCTCTCTCAGCGGTTTTTTCCTGGAAGGGTGCGTTCTTTTTCCGCGACCAACCGATCGGCGGAAGCCCTTCTCCTGTAAAACTCTTTCTTCTTCGTCGATCTCAGATTTCTTTTGACTAAAATGTTCAAATGCTCCCTTACATTTGGGCTTACTTAATTTTATGGTCCTAACATTAACATTTTAATATCGTAGTCCCAAACAATATGTTTCACACCTTTTTGGTCCCTTTTTACTGTTTCGACCACTTTTCCATCCAACTTGATGTTGATCGGCAGTTGACGTGGCAGAATCAGGGGTATTTTTATCTTTTTATATAATTTAAACTTTCATTAAAATTTAAATCATTAAAAATATTATAAAAATTCATATTTATTATTTAATTGTTAAAATATTATTTATTAATTTAAAATATTGTTTTAAAATTTTAAAATTTAAATTATTTTCAAAGTTACCTTTTTCTTTACTAAAATAAATGTTAATTATGTTGCACTTTTAACCGCCAACTGTAACTTTAAAAATTTACCGAGTAACAATAAATAATTCAAAATTCAAATTAAAAAAAAAACAAATCAAAACCAAGATTTTTGACTTTGACAGCTGCAATAAATCTTGAGTTATTTATAAAATTTTACCGCGCTATAATAATTAATTGAAAATTCAAATTTTTTTAAAAAAAATGCCAGAAAATTGTGGGGTGAAAATTCGGATAAAAAGTGGTTTATTTAAGTTTTTGGCTTAGTTATTTCTTTGAATTGAAGATATAATTTAAAATGTGGTTTTAGTGAAAATTCAAAAAGTTGTTGGGATAAAAATTCAAATAAAATAATATTATTTTTACACTACCACCTCCTTACCTCCACCACCGTCGCCTGCTGTCGGACCACCTCCTGCCGCCGCCGGCCGGCCGAATTCTGGCAAAGTCGTCGGAATCCGGCTGGCTGGTCGTCGTCCGGCGGCGGCAGGAGGTGGTCCGGCAGCGGGCAGCGTTGGTGGAGGTGTGGAGGTGGTGGTGTATAGATAATATTATTTTATTTGAATTTCTATCCAAACAACTTTTTGAATTTTCACTAAAACCATATTTTAAATTATATTTCTAATTTAAACTATAAATTAAAATAAACCATTTCTATACGGATTTTCGCCCCCTCAATTTTCTTCCCTTTGGGCCCGCTGGATTTTTTACTTCGATCGAATAAAAAATTGGTAGGTGAAAATTCGGATAAAAAATTTAGTTTGCTTTTTCTTTTTAAACAAAAAATTAAATTTTGAATTAGTTACTATAGCGCGGTAAAATTTTTGAGTGATATGGAGTTAAAAAAGGAACGTAATTAATATTTATTTTGTATCCAGCTTAAATGATGAATAGAAAAAGAAATTGTTTAAAAATAATGTAAGTTTTAAATTTTATAATAATATTTTAAATTAATGAATAATATTTTAGTAATTAAATAATTAAATGTGAATTTTATGATATTTTTAATAATTTAAATTTTAATGAAAGTTCAAATTAAGTCAAAAGACGAAAATATCCTGATTCCGGCAAGTCAACTACCGGTCAACATCGAGTTGGACGGAAAAGTGGCCGAAACAGTGAAATGAGACTAAAAAAGTGTGAAAATATAATATATGAGATTACGATATTGAAATGTTAATGTTAGGGACGTAAAATCAAGTAAACCCAAATGTAAGGGACCATTTGGACATTTTAATCTTTCTTTTTTTCTGAATTGAAATATATTATATAGTGAAAGAAAGAGGATGTTTGGTTCAAGCCCTAGTGCGGCATCTGAAACCCTTGGGAGTTCAAACCCTTTTGGGGCGCAACCGCAAACCACGAGTTCTTTCTTTGGCAGCTCCGGCAGTATGTTTTCAATGCCGACTCCATCGTCAAGTTCAACGCCGACAATTGGAGCCTCATCATCATCTGCTAATACCGCTCCAGGTTTTGTATCCCCTGCACCCGTCGTCTGCGGCGGCTCAGGAACTCAATCGTCTGGTTCGTCATCAACCACGCCGGCATGCTGTGCTACCGTTACCGGTGGTTCCTTGGGTGTTTCTTCCGGTTCCCCTGTTTCTGGATCAGTTACCGATTCAGAAACTCCAGCAGAAAGTAAACCTGCAGTAAGCACCACCACTCAGTACGTCGTCGTCTTTTGGACAGGCTCCTCCAGCTCCTTCACCTTTTGCAAGCACTCTGGCATTTGGCGGACCAATCAGTACCCCCAGTAATGCTTCTGCGATTTCGAGTTTTTTTTAGCCCTGTACAACATCTGTGGGATCTTTGGGAGTGTCTCCAGCAGGTTCATCTTCTTTTGGACAGAGTTCTCCGCTGTTTGTGAAACAGCAGAGAGGGAGTAGAGCAATTCCTTATACGGAAACACCTGAATGCGATCAATTTTCGGGCGGTAGGCATTCGTCTATAGCGGCTATGCCGCCTTACAAGCATCTTAGCCATGAAGAGCTCAGGTTTGAGGACTATGAGCAAGGAGATAAAGGCACTCCAGCATCTGAAGGAACCTTTCACTCTCCACTTCCCTCAACAACATTACCACCATCCCATCCTTTTGCGCCGAAAACCTCCGCTTCAACTTCGTTATACAATCATTCTTCTTCACCTTTCCCAGCTCCGTCTCTGTTTACTTCTGGACCATCATTGGTCACCAATACTTCGCCTTTTTCAAACTCAAGTAATAGTACTCCAAGTTTTGGACAAACAACTCCTGCTTCTGCTAGTTGTCAGGGCAAACTTCAGGAGTTATCAGCTCAAATTTCAGCCACATTCCGCCATCCCCAATGTTCCAATTAACCACTCCCGGATTTGGACCCACAAAAAACACAAACAGCTCTCTTTTTGGACAGGGTCCAACCACAATTACTAGTTTTGGTAGTTCCTCGGGACCAAATTCAGGATTTTCCAACTCACTTTTCAGCAACAACACTCAGCCATGCCCAATTATTCCTGCATTTGGAACCAAAAACACAAACACCTCTCCTTTTGGACAAACAACTATTAGTTTTGGTAGTTCCTCGGCGCCGGCTTCAGGATTTTCCAACTCAATTTTCAACAACACTCCTGCATTTGGTGGATCCACAAACACAAACAGCTCTACGTGTGGACAGGTTACTACACCCTTTTCGCAGAGTACACCGGGTTCCATTCAAGCTACTAGTACATTCAATTCGCCTGCTCCTGGTTTTCTTGGAAACATGTTGTTTACAAACACGCCTCAGCTGCCGAATGCAAGCAACAAGTTCTCGAATACTCCTTCGCAACAGCCGAATATAAGCAATCCAGGATTTTGTCAGGCTACTCTTTCATTTTTTGCAGTACCATTCCAGTCAGTGCAGCCTGCTAATGGAATAAGTGGCTTTAATGTTGCCACCCCTATTATGTTTGCTCAGAATACTTCAGGTCAACCCTTAATTATGCAAGGCGTTGTGGTTCCACAGGCAGTTCCGGCGAACCTGATTGCGATGCCGATTCCTCAAGCGCCGGTTGGTGGCACGGCCACTCCTTCACCAGTTCAGTATGGGATTTTTTGGTTCCTTGGTTCGACTTAGGTCCTTAGACTTGGTCTCCAAAATAGTTTAATTTACTTAATAAAATAAGATTTGATTCTAGAAGAGATTCTCCATCAATTCTTTGCTTATTCTTGTAGTTTTGAGCACAATATATAGAGCATTTTCGATTTGAGAAATTATTAAAGCCTTTTCGTCTAGTTATTTTTCTGTTCTTAGTTTTCTTTCTGGCTTTCTGAAACACTTACAAATAACGAAAATGGTATATGATCAGAGACATTTTATCCCTACTAGGGACTTGTGAGTTGAGTGATTCAAAACTTGACATGTTGCACTAGCTAACCTGCTATGGTGAAAACTGATATATGCCTAGGATTCTATCTTGGAGATCATCGACTTCAACTATCTTGGAATAAAGATGACCATGGACATTCTATCGATGCTAGCAAATCCCATGATAAAAAAAAAAAAAAAAAAAATCAAAATCAAATTATGTCTATGCTGTTTCTTTTACAATATTCACAGAAATTATGACTCAAGGTCAATAAGGAGAAGGAAGAATATGAAGGGAATGACAATACAAATCAAATATATGTCTCAACCTCTAAATATGAAGGACTCCAAAACTACCAGAGACTATCCCGACAAAGAAAAATTATGAGGTTGCCTGAAAGTAGAGTCTAAGAATATTAAGATCTTATCATCATAAGACAGATTTATGAGCTACAGTCTCTTAAAAATAATGTTTGTTTGAGGGAAAATCGAAGAAATTGGAGTTTTATGGAAAGGAGGGGCAATATGAAGAGTTGTAAAAAAAGGGGGCTTTAATATGGCTGGAGAGGTACAGTATCCTACTCACTTTTTCAATCATTTCTTCTGTAATTCCGTAATTACTATCTTGTTTAAATTTTCACTTTTAGTACGATTATCAATTGGACATAATTTCGGAATGGAAGAAGACTAAGGAAGTGAACGTTATCTCTTGATTTGGTGTGAATCTTGAGTAGGAATTCCGGGATGAGCAACTACAATTAAGAAGTTTATCCACACACTATTAATTCTATTAAGAAATGTACTCCTTCTTACTTAAAGCAACAAATATTTTGGACACGTGTCAGCACTACCAAGAAAATTTTCCCTCCAAAACCATTGAGCAGCGAATTTTAGCAGAAAAGTAAGTTATGAAAATCCTACTTTCTAGAGAATGAATCAGTTCAAATGAATACCTCAATTTAAGAGATAGAAATTATTCCATATATATCTCTCTAAATGTCTCATACACTCCGGAAAACTCCCCCATTTTCAGCGCTGATTGCCCCTTATTGGTGCTGATTAAAAATATCATTAATTTAAAGATTAAAAATCTGTTCATTATTTAGAAGATTTCAATAAATTTCCTCCATTCGGCTTCCTTACCTTTAGGTTTCAGTTTCGATGAAACAGAATGCCAGCGAGTCTCTCCTCAATTCCGCTTCCTTACGCCTAAACTGATGATGAACCTAAAGCTCAAAGCAGTGCTAAATAGAAGATATGACAGCCAAATTTTTATTTTTTTTTTTTGGTTGCAAAACGTTAGCCATCACCTAAACTCCTTTTTTTCCCCCTCCCCTGCTTCTTCTATTTGAATCGTAGGGTTCTCTTTCAATCGTTGCTAACTTTGGTGGCCAGTTGATGACTATTTGAAGAGGAGATTGCTGATTGATGAACAACCGATAGAGAAGCAGCAGCGGCGCGGTTCCCAGGAGCAGATTTTTGGATGAATTAGGATTCTGATGGTTACTTTTTTTTTTTATAGATTTGTTTTTTTCCAATTTCAAACATATAGGATCACATCTTTAGCTTGTATGTTCATGCTTAAACGGGTGAAGATTCATTCTTTCAATTTTTTTTTTTTTAATTGTTGATGTAGCCGGCGGTGGGTGTCTGAAAAGGCCTCAGTTATTCTTTGCCGATTACGATTTCGTTGACATCCAGATGAAAGCCGACTCGACTGCCACTTTGGAGTAGATTCCTTTTTCGCCTGAATTTAAAAAGGCCGATGGCTCGATAAAACTCTCAGGTAATTCCTCAAATGTAGAATCATGGTTTTGCATCCTTACTTTGTAGCTGAAAAAGTTTGAACTTTTAAACAGCAACTTCTGTCTTTTGTTGAGATTTAAGCTTTCATCAACTTTGGCCAATTGGAATTGGTCCAAGTTTGCAGATTTAGCATAGAAATATTTACAGTTTTTTAATGAATTTGGAAGCTCTATGGATTATTGCTTAGCTTTTTGGTTTCTGAATGTACCGACTAAATGGTATGTTAGTTCACTAAATTTTTTATTCTGTCGCATATGAAGGTATCTGAATTTTCTGTAACATAAAGGATAACATCAGAGCCGCCTGGATAAGCATCTGAATATTTATAGGAAGATCACCAGTTTGATGATACTCTTTATCCATTTAGGAAGAATTGAGGTTGGTCTCAATAGCATTACATTTGCTTTTAAAAAATAAGTATGGATAATGTATTCTCAAGCTGTTAATCAATATTATGTATGGATAATGTTCCTTTTTGTTTAGGTTGTGAAGATTTCTGGAATTTTCTTTGAACTTGGTGACTTTCAAATGTGAAATGAATGTGTTTTTGGTTTCACAGGAATGCCCATGTTGTGTCAATTGATGGTCATGAGGACGTGTCTAATAATGATGAGAAGTCCTTATAGAAAGCTTTTGGGCATTATCCAAAGCCAGAGACAGATTTCCAGCTTTACCAATTGGTAATATTTTTGTTCTCTATTAGTTAGTAATTTGATTACAATTTAGAATTTTTGGTATTCTGGCAACTTTACTCCCAGACCTCTTAATGAATTTGTTGCAACATGTCAGACTTTAGTTTATAGACAATGCAAGTTTCTTTTATGATAAATCCAGGGTGTCTTCATTGGAGAATGTAGAACACAACTAGATCATGGTGCTGTTGCTAAACCCTGATATGTTACACAAAATGGTGTAGATTAGTGGAGGCTATACGAGGCTTGAGAGAAACCTTGCCAATGTCACCACCGGAAATGTGGTATAGCCATGGAAGCCTCTTATCCGTAGAGTTTGCTCTGGCTTTGAAAAATTATAGCGTCTATAGCAGAAGAAGCTTCTTGGCATCCATGAAAATATCGACATCGATCGACTATTGCAGGTAATACTACAGGAACACTTCCCTCGTTGAAAAATGTCCTTGATGACGTATGTTTGTTTTTGCACCTTGACTTCTGTTGATTGTTTCCATTTTTGCTTCCATCGATTTAGTCAAGGCTGAAGCAAATCTTTTGAGATTAATTATTACTTTTATTGATAAAGGAAACTGGGTCATTGGTTATTCATCAATTAAGTTCAGATATTGTTCTTTTGCCATAAATTTGGCTGTTAGGTTTAATCAAATTTTGTCTTGAGTTTTGCTAATTAATCAGGTCATTCAACTGTGGCTTTCTTTCTTTCTTTTTTTTTTTTTTTTCCTTTGGCCACGATTTTGTTTCATGAATCAATTATTAGTTTCAGTTAAATAATCCATTTTAACATTCAAGCACCTATGGATTGAATTTGTTTGTTTTGCTTTGCCATTAAATTGGATGAATATTAGGTTTGATCTAATCAGGTGGAAGAGTCATTCTGATTCCTGGTCAGGCTTAAGTTTGTTAATTAGATACAACTTTGGTTATGGGCTATATATATATGGGGAGGAAATTGATCCCAAAAAAACTCTTGACCAGAGAAACACAAAAATCACATTATTCGGCAGGCAATCAAAATCTTCCTTTTTTTTGCTACTTTTTGCTCATGTGTTGTCCATCTGGTTATCACCTTGCTCTGAAATTCTCTAAACGAAAAATGCGATAAACTTCAGAATAGTGTTCTATTATTTTTTTATCTCTTTAGGTGCATGGGGTAATCCTTCCGGGCTTCTTCGCAACTTGATAAACCTAATTTCTCTTATTCTTTGTTCTTTTGGCCCTGTAGGAGGATGAAAAGTACGAGTTATATGAGCCTACAATTCAGAATGTGGTGAAGAACTACTTTTTACTTAATGAAGCAGTAATGAAATGTTTTGCAAGCACTGATCCCATTGGAAAGGAGTTTGCTTATTTTTAGTCTTACATTGCCAGCATTGTTTGATTCACTACTTATTTTTAACATTTTCATTAATTTGAAACATCACTTATAAATGTATCATCTTCAAAGTGCTACATTTTTCATTTATGGTTTAAATATCACCCATTTGCCTTGGATGAGAATTCTATATTATTATGTATATTATAACAAAATAGATTAGTGTGTTATAACCAGTAATTTTACTTAAATGATTTGAACACAGGTGGCCGCGCCGGACAGAATATTTAAAAAATGATTTTAATACAGGCGCCCGCGCCCGAGCTTCCGCGCGGGTCAAGCATCTACTATATAATGATTATGCAAATCATCAAAAAAAAAATGCTTCTTACCGAATTCGAGAAAGGTTTTATAAAAATAAAAAGACACTTGGACAAAAATTTCATCAAAGTCTTTTTTTTTTTTTTTCTGGGTTAAAAATAGTAAAAGTCTGTTTGGATTAAAATTTTCTAAGAGCATTTGTTGTAGATAAAAAACATAATTAAAATAATGTTTGAATTATCCATTTAACCAACATTTTTTCCTCACCCTCTCTGATCTCAATGTGTATTCAATATTTAGGAGTTATTAGGTAGTTTGGACATGTCCTTAAGTACATGGATTATGGACTTCGTGGTTTCATCAAATTTTAATACTTTCTAGTCTCTTTGTTATGGGCTTATGAATTTGATCTAAAAAGTTTCTTTATGATTGGAAGGCATGATTAATTTAGTTTTTTTTTTTTTCAGGAACTAGAAATGAGAAAATCACACTTTGTAATTTGGGGTCGTGGTATGTTCACGAGTGTATTGTTTAATGAAGTTTTGCAAGGTTGATGAAGCTATCCTTTAGATCCCTCATCCTTCGTGATTGGAGAAGAAAAGCTAAAAAAAAAAAAAAGAGATAAATAATAAGAAAAAGTGAAATAAATACCTAAAAATTAGACATAGGGGTACGATTCCTTGTCACGATGATACCGAATACCCCATTTCCACTAAATTGGATTCTGTTCTTGCTTCTGATTTAGGAAAACTTGCTATGCCCACAGCTCTGGAACCACTTGTTTCTGTTCGAGAACCGCCAATTACGGTTTAATGAAAATAAGAACCACACTCACCCCTTAATACGATGGTTCCGGTTACGGTTCGAGAACTACAGGTTCTGATTTGGTTCTGGTTCTGTTATGTTTTTGGTTTTAGTTCTAAGTTGTTGCGGTTTCGGTTAAAATATATATATTTTTTTTAATCAAATTTCTTTTGTTTAATTTTTTTTTGTGAAAAGTGTTGTGGGATGTGGATTAAGAAACTCAATTGTCTTATATTTTTTAAAAAAATGGACAATACTTGACCCTAACTTTTAAATGTATGAAAAATAAATAATACATACGCAGTGTTTAAGACTTACTTAAAAGAAGCAATCCTTACAAACATTATATGAATAACAGATGGTTTGTGTCGTATGTTAAAAAATAACTATGCTAAAAGAAACTAAAAAGTTACTGCTGAAGTTGAAATTCACAAGAATATTCAGAGCTCACATTGCTGATGATTTAAGAGAGAATAATACCTAAAACCTGCAAAAAGAAGTTAGCACTCTGATGCTTAAGTTAGTACATGGTTTGAGAGGGAAAAAGTATATTGAAGATATGTGTTTCATGTGTAAAATGTGTAAAAATAAGGGAGAGTACATGATGTAAAATGTGTTATATTTATGATTCATGGATTTGGATTTATTTTTGATATTATATTAGCAACTTTTTTAGACTATAATTTGGATTTCTTTTTTATGAGTTGTTTTGTATTGATAACAATGTGAGATAACGATTCTATGAATGATAAAGTAGTAATAAAGAAGAACTGTGTATTCGTGGTGGTGGGAATAAGGCGGTGAGAGAGAGTGTTGAAACTTATAATTTTTTGTAATTAAAAAATTATAGAACCTTTGAAAACGGTTCAAAAACTAGAACCTTATGATCCAGATTGGTTCCAGTTCGACTGGAACCTTAGGCATGCTTACTCATACCTCTTAGTCGAGAAACTCTCGTATCAAAGTTACTATTATTTTTCCCATCTTTAACCTTTCATACATTTCTTTAGTTTTATCCAGTGAAAAAAAGATCGGATTCGCTTTGCACCTGTTATCATGTCGAACCTCTATTCTTTTCCATTCGCTGCAATCCCAGTTAACTCAGAGATATATTAAATTTTTTTAAAAAAATAATTGTTTTTTAACCATAAAAATGTATTAATTTTAAAAAACTATTAAAGAGTTGATAAATTAATAAAGTTATCAATTTAAAGAATTTTGGTAAAGAAAAAATCTCTTGTTAGGTTATGTAATTTTCAATCATTTTTACAATCCGAATTAATTAGATATTGAAACTCTTCCCAATACTAATGCACATACATAGTTTACATACTAAAAAAGAGCATTAATAGTTTTAAATTTTATTAAATAATTATAATTATTATATTATTTTTTATACATAATGCAATTGTTACTTTATGTTATTGTTGGGACCTATAGTTATATGCAGGATTTTATGAAACATTATTACTTATTATTTAATCGATTTTATTCATTTTTTATATTGGTCCCAAGTTGAGAAGGTGAAAAATTTTTAATTGCTTGAAATTATGTATTTAAAGATATTTTACTGTATTTCTTAATAGTTTCCTCCCAAAATTAAAAAATTCCTCTCAATATATCATTTGCCTTGTAATTTTTCTGAAACAGAAAATTAGTGAAGAAGTTGCGTCCTATAAACGCTTTCTTATGGCGAGAAGGAGAAGGTTTAAGATTAGATGTGTTACGAATTGACTGGAAATCTTGTGATTAATCATTTTCCATTATTAAAATAGTTTAATTAATATCACTACAAATTCCGTAGAAAGATTGGTCTTTGTTAAGTTATAAACGAATCCAAATAAGGAAGAAAAAAAAAAGAGTAGTGATAGATCATAATTTAAACGTCTTATCTCCTTATGGAAAATATATATTATAGAACTTACTCAATTGAAAATTTCATGTAACTCTAAAGTTGAAAGAATGAACTCTGATAATCCGTCATGGTAAGCAAGAAGGGTAGTTAGGAATAATTGTTTTGTCATAATGAGAATTTTTCTTAGAGAATTTGTATATATTGAAACACAAATGGATTGATAATTGCTATAAAAAAAACATAAATGTATATATTTTCATTCACAAAAATGATTTATCATGTCTCTAATGTAGAAAGATACTCAAACAAATAAAGAAATGAAAAAAAAAATTCAACAAGAACACAACTTTAATTAATAAAACCAGAACAAATTCCTTCATCTTAAAGATGATAAGGATTTACACAACAAGACCAACAACAAAAAAAAGGAAGCGCTTAAATTGCGCTTACAAGAAAATCCTAGCAAGTTACAACAACATCCAAGGGTATAAGACACCAATCATATGAAAACTAAGTGAACTTGTCCAAACTTTGGAATTTATTCGGATTTCATAAATATCCACAAGCTGAATTCCACTAAGTAGTTGTATTTGGATAAGCAAAGGGAAATGATAAATCATCAGCTCCAGACCTAGATGATCCCTGATTAGTAGTAAACGAGGGTCCATTCTCAACTAATATGCTTTCGTTTGAAAGTATTAGATCCGCAAAACTTGAACCTGATGGCATGGGTGGATAATGAATGTTTTGAGGTAGTGATGGTGGTGGTTGAGGTTCATAAGCTACCGAGTCATTATTATGATTATTTGGCTCTGGGATGTTGAAATCTGAAAATGAATTGGCATTTGGAGGCAATCCTTTTTGTGTTTGAATCTGAACTCTTTTGTCCATCTCTTCATAAGCAATTTTCAGCTGCTCGAGTTGTTCCATGCTAAGCTCTTCAATAGGAGCTTGCCACCAATACTGATTCTGATTGGCTCTCACCATCTTTGTAAATTCGCTTCTCCTTTTCTTCACGGTGCCCATGTGATCTTCCAGGGCCCTCAGTTCTTCATTGAGGCTAATCTCGTTAGCCCTACAACGTGCCTGGTTCACCTTGTCGATTGAGCTCTGAGGACCAATGAAATGAGGCACTTGAGCCTCATACTTCTCCAAGATCTTACTCACACTGGGGGAGCCAAAAGAGTACACCTTGCTCCCTGGAGAAAAGACCACAATAGCAAGCTCTGACCCTGTTAGGGTACAGAGTTCACTCGCTTTTTTGAACAAACCTAAGCGACGTTTAGAGAACGTGACCTGCAGGTTGTTCTCGTTGGTCATTTTGACCATATCTACCCTTTGGCGACCCCGACTCATTTTTGCAGTTGCCATTATTTGCTAACAAAAAATATTTTACGAAAATATAGAGGAGGTTGATGCTTGACAAACAAAGAAGAAAAAGTCGGGATTTTATAGGAGTGAAGTATGAATTACGTGGTCAAAGTCAATATTATAATCATAGAAGCGTATCAAGTTCATTTAATAACTATCCAATTTAATAACTATATTTTAGGGGGTGCGAATCTTTATAGTTTGATAATGTATTGAATTAGTTACCTAGTTTCGAACTTTTTTTCATGTTCCGACCTGTATTAGTCAAAACATGACATTTACGGAGCATGAACTTTTTGGAATGAAATGATTTAGAAAATTATGTGAAATAAATTAACCATGACATGAAATGCAACTTTTTTTTTTAAATAACTTAAGAAACTTTTGGGCTTTTATTTTTTAATATTCTTTTATTTTGGGTCTAGTCATTCTTGCAGCCATTTTATTTTATCAATGTAGCATTCCACTTACTTAAATCTTATCTATGTAATTTTTGCTTTGATGGGTTATTGTTTTTGTTACTCTTAGGAGTTTAGATGAATTAATTTGACTTAATATTAGAGGTTGACTAATTGGCCATCAATATAAAAACTTATGCAACATACCTATTCGGCTATACCAATTCATTATAACTAATGAAGAAAAAATACAATAAATTAGAAGAATGTGTCACATTTCAAAAAGATGAAGATTTTTATCTTGCTTGTGACAAGGAATTCTGAGTCTAGAAAGAGTAATTTCGCGATTAATATATAGAACAACGATACATTTTACTCATGTTTCTATTCATATTTCATATTCAATGGATAGTTTTCAAACAACAAAGCAAAATAACCATGCAAAGCAAAAATAACCAAGCAACGGAAGAATAAACAACTACAATTAGCACAACATAATTGAGAAACTTGTACTAATCAAATTAATCATATTCTGATTTATATGTAATTCAGTCTCGTACTCGAAGTTAAGAAATTTTGGCCTATATATATGGAAAAATAAGAAAATTAGGTCTATATATATATATATATTTGACAGTGAAACTAACTATTTTTCATTTATTTTGTCTACGAAATGGTACATGAATCTCGATGATTTTCTTATGCTGAAAAACGATATGGAGTCACATGGACATACTTAAGCTCAGTTTAATATGTTGTCAGAACACAATATGGAATTTTTTCAATCTTTTTTTTTTCACAAAAAGTTACAAGATTAGATTGAGACTAATGTGCGACCATTTTATCCTATCGGATGAGTTTATTGGAGCTAGTGGGTTTATCTTGTGCTATATTCATATGTTTGATTAATTAATCACAACTCATATATTGTTAGTTTTCTTTGCAATATCGGTTTTTGGGGAACATTATTATTTTTAGTATGTTTGGTTTACAACGTAAACTGAAAAAATCTATTTCAACTACAAAAATACAACCCATCATTGGTTGTTAATATTTTGATAACTACAATGAACGTCTTCCATTATATAAGAAAATGGGTGAAATATCACTCTGTGAATAAAAATATATTTGTGAGGTACGTATCATTCATTTGTGTTTTTTATAATAAACTAATCGAGTGTAAGTAAATTATAATAGGAACAAACTCGATCTTTTGATGAAAGAGAGAGATTAAAATGATATAGTTTCTCCGTTAAAAAAAAATCACTTTGTTATATTATTTTAATTTAACAAAATAAATTAATTTTTGGAATGGCGGGATCGATATTATATTTTATGGATATAGAGCGATATCAATTTTTTTTTGAGGTGCTCAATAAATAAAATTCACTTTGACTCAATTGATTGTCATTCTGAATTTTTCACTTTACTTTTAATACAACTAGTATTATGCCCGCACGTTGTGCCGCACGTTGTGCGGATTTTACTATATTTTAGAGTAACAATAATATATCATTATTTTCCTATAAAAGTGTCGTATGTTTTACTTTTTATGTTTTTTGGTATATTAGGTATTCGGAGTCCAAATTCAAGAGTGTCATATGGTTTTTTTCGTTTTTGGTATATAGTACATCCGGTGTTTGAAATTATTGTTTAAACTAATCTGTCTTCGAATTGGGTAGGTCACTTTTGAAAGACAAACTTCTCCCAACAATCATTACTACATTCCTATGCACAAATTTAATTATGGATTGTAGTTAACTTGGTCCAATACTATTACCACTTTGATCAAGTACTTCTTAGCTATATAGGATATTTTAAAATAAAAATTAATATGTTCAACTATCGAATATGCTTCTTGTTTAGGAGTGTTAGTATAAAAAAAAATATATTCTAAATACAAATTAATATGATCAATTGTCTACTATCCTACTCTTTTAGGGATATAAGTATATAAAAGTTATTTTCAACAATAGAAATTAAATCATGTATATTCTTAAAATATATTTATTGAAAAGTATATATTGTTTACTTGTAGTAATTGAATCAAATATTATAAATAATCTTTGTTTTAGGCATAAAGCAATATTAAAAAAAAATTCCAACAAAAGTAAATAAAGCACAAAAAATAGGGGAAAAAACCATGACAAAAAAAAACTAATAAATAATTTGAAATACTTATCCATACTCCAAACTTTTTCCTTAGTTTTTTTTAATAGCAAAATCGGCTATGCCTGGTGGGTGCAGAGCCCATTTTATTTATCTGGACTCATAACTTTTTCCTTAGTTATGAGTGCTTTTCGAGGTACTTATTCTTTTGCCATCACGGTGCCACACTTCTCCTGTAAAACTAAAACAGACAGATAATCAAGCACTTAAAGTAAATATATTTAACTATTAATATCTCAAATAAAGTATATATTTACCTTCAGACTCTAGAGCATGAGCAATTTCGTTTTAGTCTATCTGACTCCTTTAGACCGAGATTGATGCATACCTATTTTTTAGCTAATCCCATTGAAATTCTATAATAGCAATGGTGCAAAACATACTAAAATGAGACCCTCATGATTGTTTAAAAATAAAACCATCAAAACTCATAAATATTTGTCAATGACATACAACAGAAATAATCCTTAACATAGAAAATATAATGCATGTTCTAAAAATGATGCCTGTTCTCTCGAAAAGAAAAGGTATGTCAGTCGTACCAAAATTTTCCTTATAATGTTGAAGTTTAAAATGTAACACAAAATGATTAGTTAACAGTTCAAAACAAAGGGAAAAAATATTTTAAGAGATAATATTAATCTACATTTAATGAATCCAAACTTGGTTTTCAAATTGTATTCATAATATAATTATTTGTAACTAATATCCTTTTAATTTTTTAAATTAATCACTTTTTATTGTTTGAAAAATATATTAAATGGAATCATCTATAAAATAATATTAACATATCTTGCATGTATACAGACTTAGTTTCGAATTGTATTTGTAGTATAATTATTTAGTAACTAATCTCTTTTTATTTTTGAAAAATATATCAAATAGAATAATCTGAAAAATGATATAAACATACGTTTAATTATCCAGACTTAGTTTCGTATTGTATTCGCAGTATAATTATTTGGTAACATATATTTTTTTCTTATTGGTAACTAATCTATTTTTATTTTTGCAAAATATATCAAATAGAATCATCAGAAAAATATTATAAACTTATGTTTAATATATCCAGAGTTAGTTTTGAATTATACTGGTATAATTATTTGGTAAATAATCTTATCGTTTCGGTAAGTAGTCTCTGTTTATTTATGGAAAATATACCAATCATCTATGAAGTAATATTAACATGCTTGTAATGTAGGTAGACTTGATTTCGTATGGTATTCACAGTATATTTATTTGGTAACAAATATATTTTTTTGTTATTGGTAACTAATCTATTTTTATTGGAAAATATATCAAATAGAATCATTAGAAAAATATTATTAACTTATGTTTAATGTATCCAGACTTAGTTTTGGATTGTACTCATATAATTATTTGGTAAATAATCTCATGGTTTTGGTAAGTAGTCTCTGTTTGTTTATGGAATATATACCAATTATCTAAGAAAAAATATGAACATACTTGTAATGTAGGTAGACTTGGTTTTGAATTGTATTTGTAATAAATATTTGGTAACAATCTGTTTTTTTGGTAACTAATATCTTTTAATTTTTGGAAATATATCAAACAGAATCATCTGAAAAATAATATTAATCTACATTTAATGTATCCAGACTTAGTTTGAAACTGTATTCTTAATACGATTATTAATTTGATGATTAATGTTTACTTATGTCATATATTTGTCAATAATTACCAAAGAGGTATTTAATTTTCCGAAATTAACTATTGGTTAATTAATTAATTCAATTTAACAATTTTACGGATTAGTAATAAATTTTTAACTGTTTAATGAAGGAGAATTTTGTTGACGACACGTGGCACAATTGGCTAAACTTGTTCCCTGAGCGACACGTGTCGATTAAGAATTCTACTTTAATATATACTAGTGTTTACCCTACACGTTGTGCGGGTTATTCGAGATATACATGAGTTTAATGATTTGACGATTATATGACATTTTCGACGGAGTGATATATGTAAAAAAATATTAATGATAAAATTTACTATGTTGTACTTTTAATGTCAATCTATTTTGTTATTTAAGTATATTTGGAAAAATTTTCAATATTCAAAATCATCAAATGTAACTTATTATCCATATTTATTGTTTTGTTTATTTATGGATTTATATTTTTTCAAAGTAGTCTCTTAATTTTTCATAACGATCCTCCTAATGCTTTCTACTCGTGTCATAATGCTTTCTTCATGAGTTTTCTTGGGTGCATAGTCTTCACTTTTTCTTTCCTCTAAATTTGATTACTTTTCTTTAAAGGTTCATTTCTTAAAATTATTAAAATTGTTTAATTTTCACTATTATCTTGATTTATTTTTTCATTTCTTTTATTCTCGACAAATTTTTTCCATATAATCATTTTTATTAATTTCTCAATATGCTTTTCTTCTATCATTTGTCTGTCATAGAAGCCTTTATTCTTTTTATTATTATTATTATTTTGGAAAACTTTCTTCCTGTTCACCTCTACATTTTGATTTATCCCATAACATCAACTTTTTTTTTACTATTATATCATATGAAAAAAATATAATGAATATCGTATCTTATTATATTAATTTAATAATATATTATATATAATATAATGTATTATTATATTATTAAAATTTGGCAGATTTATATGTAATTATATTATTATTATTATTATTATTTTACGTGTATTCTCTTCTAATTTTGACACAACATAATCATTTATTAGTATTGAATGTTTTGGAGTAAAAAAAATATTACCATGAAAAAAATTTACAATTGCAGCACCACCAACTGAAATAAAAACCAATACACTAACCAATAAAAAAGAAAAAATCTAATTAATAATTGTACTTTACCATATAATTAACTATAAAAATTAATATTGATCTGTGAATTGGTTTTTCTAATCATGGCCGTTTTTTTTTTTAAACTTTTTTTTTGTTCTATCAGCCATCAAAAATAAGGGAAAAAGTTTTTGGGAAGTGTATTTTAATCAACGTAGTGTTCATATATTTAAACAATAAAAACGAAGCACCACTAATAATATATACTATTTTTTATGAAATTAATATAAGTAACGATTTTCGGAGCTATTTTTATCCAAAGAAAAAATAAATTTTCTTTTAAAAATTGCCCTCATAAGGTCAAGAACTTGCTCTTCCCCGTTAGTAGTTGTTTCATTTTTGAATTGAAACAACCGATTCATTTAATATTCTAATTTACACCATTTGACGTCCAGTTTGAAAGAACGAATTGCCAAAGTCTTTCATCAAAAGAGCTAGAATCTTAATTAAGCTAAACAAATTCTAGAATTTTAAGATTGGACATAAAGTAGAACAATTCTTCTAGTAATTTTATTGCTTACTTGTGGCTTGAAATTTTTTTTTTAAAAAAATCTTGTTTCTCTTTATAACTAAGATGGCTCATTTTCATGTCAATTTATTAAATAAATCATAATTCTAATTTTGGTAAGCTATACCCTATGGCAGCCGTAGTTTCTTTGTTGATGAAGTATGTTTTTCCCTTTTTGTTTTTTAAGTTAGTTTTGTCTTCTTTTTTTTTTTTTACTATTTTAATTAAAAAATTACCATTAAATGATGGAGCGATGTGGTTGCGACATGTGGACTTGGCTCTCTAATTTTTCGCCGCGTAGATTAACTTATATAATTTTGCGCCATGTGTCCGATTGAAAACTCTAACAGAGGGAGTATCAAATGGGCGAAAATAAAACCTAAGGTTGTTTTTGTAACTGGGGATATTAAGCAAATTCAGAGATCTTGAAGAATGTAACTGCAATTATTCCCAAATTTTTACAACGGCTTCATACGCGTGCCCAAAATTTCATTTCAGTGGAATTTCATCTCAATTTTGAGAAAAAGGAGTTAACCGTCTATAAAGTCCGCCCAAATTTTCATTCAAAATTGCCCTTTCGCCTTTCTCTTCGAGCTCTCGACAGAAATCAAAAGAAAGAAACGAGGAAAAGAAAATGTGCAGAAATTCCTAAATCTCAGACAGAGCAGATCGTCCAATTCGTGAAGAACCCGTTATAATATTGAGGTAAAAACGAAAGCCCATGAAACGGCTTGCTTTAATTTCTTCGTTTTTAATTGATTTTCTTTACTATACTGTAATTCTTGAATCGGACGACCAGTTTCTGTTTCGCCGGAAGAAAGCCATTTTTAATTTTCGTATAGTGTACTCTATTCCGGCTGGATTCCGGTTTGTTGTAATGGGTTTACAAGAAAACTTCACAGTCAAAAGAGTTGATAGATTTAGATAAGAACAATTTCGTTTTTCTTACCTCTAATTGTGGTTCTTGAAAATATTAGATTCTGAAGATATGCCGGAACCAAGAGACAGAGTCTCAAGGGCGGTGGACGTGGCGGATGTTTACGCTCGTAGAAGGCGGCCAATCATATCAGGCGGAAGTGGGCGACGGGAAACCCTCACTGTTTTTTCCAACGACGCTGAAGAGGTGGGTCCAACCACGCTATTTCGCTGGGGATCAACGCCATTGACGGGAAGACGCGGCGGCTCTGAAGTGGGAAGTCCGGGTACTACAGGATCTGGGCCACGTGGCAGCAGGTTACAGAACATATCTCCGGCGACCAGAAGTGGCCGGGACCGAGTAATAGGTCGAGGCAGGGGTCGTCTTGGGGGTAGTGTTTTACCTGATTGGTATCCCCGAGTTCCCCTTCAAGACATCACCGAAATCGTTAGGGTACTTATCTTTGACTCTATCGATAAGACATTAAATTCTATGTTTTTGTACCGTAATTAATTGTTCGAAGTTATTATTTTTCTTGAAAATTCATTCTCCATTGCTGAAAATCATAGGACAGTTGTTCTGTTGTTGGCCATATTCAATATTTGCAGCAAACTCATGATAGTTTTGATGGAGTATCTTCAATGAAATTTTAGGTGTTATCTAACCATTCAGGAAAATCCGTACAGATAAACCTAAAGTTCTATTCATGGTCTTTTCATGCTGGTTCCTTTTGCGTTGGCAATTGCCTTTGCATATTCTGCAGTTATCTTCCTTTTCTGTTAGAATAAATTGTTTTGCCTTTGCATAACCTGATAACAACATAAACTGTTTTCATTGTTGGGTTACTGCCTAATTCCATTGGTAGTTTCTACTTTGTATTTCCTTTAAGGCATCAGGAAAATGTTTTTGAGTAATGCTGTAGGCTGAAAGCAAAAGTGCATTTGCTAAAGTTGTAGCTGAATCGTTCTGGTTTATCACTGAAGGTGTTAGAGTTTATTCATTCTGGCTTGAGGCATTGTCAATCTTCACTTTTGGTGGATAAATCAGTGTTTACTGTTTAGAACTTCTGTTTTGTTGCTCTTTTAGAAAGCATAGTAAGATCCTGAATTTCCCCTGAAACATTGAGCAGGCCATTGAAAGAAGAAGAGCTCGAATGAGGGAAGGCGAGGGCCCTCGAATTGAGACTCCTGTACATCAGCCACTGGCTGTTCATGATCGTTCAGTGTCCACATCAGGTGCTCAACTCGAGCACAGTTCTGCAACTTTTACTCCATATCAAAAAGGCAGTAGCAGGAACCTTTCCGTATCAGTTCCGAAGATATTGCTTGATATCACTAACCACAACAATGGAAAGTCATCTGGCCTAACACCACAAAAGAAACTTCTGAACTCCATTGATACAGTTGAAAAAGTGGTGTCAGAGGAATTGCTAAAACTGAAGAGGACTCCAGCTGCAAAGAAGTTAGAGAGGGAGAAGAAGGTGAGGACCTTGATGTCTATGCGCTGATAAAAAGATATGTTTGTGGAGTCTTAACTCAATCAAGGTTGAGGCAACAAGTGTGAATATTGAACTCAATCAAGGTTGATTGTATACAAGTGTGGATATCTTTTAGCTCAATCAAGGCAAGGATGAAACCTGAAGAGCTTCTTTCATACTCATGAAAACTGAAGAATTTCTTTCATACTCACGGAAACTGAATTCATTCTCATGAAAACGGAAGGATTTCATACTCGGCAAGCTTGAGGATATTGGAGTATATAGCAATAGCAGAATAATACCACTAATGGTATGACTTAGAATCACCTGTTTAAAAGAGCTAGCTTAGTGGACAGTTTTTTGTTCCCATCATGATTAGCTTGTTGATCTTTTAGCTAGATCAACCTCATAGTTCAACCTTTTCATTTTTTTCTTGTATATCTTGTGATTCTAGTAGATCTGACCATTTCTTGTCCTGTGATCCAACACTTATGGTCCTTAAGTAAAAGATTGTACATTTGTACTGATGCTCAAAGAAGAAATTGCTTACAACTGATCAAAGTGATTCAGCTGTTATATTTTCGAGTACATCTTCTAGATAATAGAGAGAAGAAACTGAATAGTTGATAAAGGTGTTTTCTCGATTTGAGTACGCAAAGATTTAGCTACACATATCACCTTATGCGTAAACTACCGAATCTTTGGGTGAAATTTGATAGGATCAGAGTGCGTATAATAAATAGTACGATCTAACAATCCTATGCAGGAAGCTTATGAACATTTGCAGTCCTGTATTTGAAAGATATAGCCATTGTTTTTCGTATAATATAAGGTTTGCTTGGTTTAAGAACTAAGAGGATGAATGAGTAGTGGCTTATTCGTTTATAGTATTTAACTGTACACATACTTCATAATTCTGCATATCTGAAACTCTCAATCTTAACCAATTATCCCGATCAGAAGCAACGCAACCATTGCCGTTCGTTCAGCTAGATTTGAAGAATACTTGTTCTGGGCTTATGGCACAGTTCAAGGATTACAAGAGTACATAGCCTTCTCCTTGATTTGGCTAGCTTCCATCATTGCAATATAGAAATGACTTTGAAATCAAACTGCTAAACTTTCCTCCAGGTCCATTACCAGTTCCAATAATCAGCCATCTTTCATCTCCTTTCCCCTGCACCTCACAAAGCTCTGCATACCTGCCCAAAAAATAGGGACCCCTTAATCCACCAAGTCTAATTTCGTTCCGTTCATTGCATAGTTGCATTCATCACCTTAAATAGCAGGAGAGTTCCTCAAAACTCACGAAACTTTTCTTCTCAAATCTCCCTCAAATCACTGCAATAAGTCACTTTCGAGTTCCAAGACTTTGCATTCGCTCCTTTATGACCTTAATGGAAATTTATGAAAAAGCTCTAGATTACTCAGCTTCTTGGTGGTCACACACTGGAACAGATCTTGTCATGTTGTGCTCAGAAGTGTTGCATATCAAGTTGTATGAATGTAGTATATCTGAAAAGGCTCAAGTTGACAAAGAAAATGACATGAATTAAAACTTTCTGCAAGTTCTCGAAAATTTAATGTTAAAGAATTGAATAGTTCTCGAGCTTGTTTAGATATTGTTGGAAAAATTGAATGCGGTATTTGTGATGAATAATGACATCTCTAAAAAATAAGAAAATCCAAGGCTCATGAAGACACGATTCCCTTAAAACATATTTGCCCCCTCCTACGGTGCTAGAGAATTGTGGGCAATTGTTTCCCAGGATACAACGGAGAAACGTGAAAACTATTTAGTACTAAGTAGTTCCACCGACGAACTGGAACTTGGAAAATATTTGATGAACACCAAGGAAGAGGAAGAAAAAGCTAAGGCAACATTGATGAAGAAATTGGGTTACTTAGAATTAACAAATGAGTCACTATTTATATTATTAAGAGACATTTTGAATTCAACCAAAAGATCCAACGATTTTCTCATGTTAATTCACTTTAATTATAGCTGAATAATTGTGAGACAAATGTTTAAACATTTGTAACCACTCAACCATTTATTCTACTCATTTAAATGAATTAATCCTACAAATTCAAATCTGAAACGATCAGTTTTATTGCAGCAAATTAATTTCTGTGCTAAATGAAATATTATATTCATTATCACCCTCATAACCATTGGAAATCAATCCGGTCAAATTCGAATTAAATGAAAACTGTTTGGAATTAATTTTAGCAGCAAAAGTCTCTCTATTATTTGACTGAAAAATTAATATGAGACAGAGCAAATGTGGGTTGATCAGGTCCTCGAGAGTTCGGTCCGACATTTGTGTCCGTAAATCGGGCACATACATGAGTTAAGCTAACTCAGATAGCATAAACTCAACTTTTTCAATCTATGAGAAAACAATTCTCATTCATATTAATAGCTCAATTCTAACAATCCCCCACATGAATGAGACATTTGTTTGACTCAATGAAGATGGTGTTCACCAACAGATTCCTGCGTTGAGAAAGTAGGTGTTACCCTTTGAACTTCCTCCTTGTAAAGTATGCTTGCTTTACTAGCTGTCCAGTAGACGCGATGTCGTTGAACTGTCCGGCTGTATTGTGTAAAGAAACCCACATACAATACAAAGGAACCCTTTCTTTTTAGTTCCGTTCTCATGGTTTTGTTCATTTTAGCCATGAACACGTCCTGGTTCTACGAGAGTTGGCCCCCCTTCTCTCTTACATAGGTGACTTCTTAAGTGTAGAGTAAATGATATTGATATGCTTATATTTTACCTATTTATTATATCTCTAATTTGTGATTTTTGTAATATATTTTGAGTACAAATATGCTATTTATATGATTCTATCTTTATTTGTAGGTTTTGTACTCAAATGGAAGAATTGTTGAGGTTTTTGACTAAATTGAAAAGAAAAAGCAACTCAAAGGAAGAATTGAAGATTTGATAAATTGACAAGGAAGAAATTGAAGCACTTGAAGAGTTGGAGGAGTTTTAATTTAAATTGGCTTGGAAAAAAATAACTTTCTTATTCATGACGAAATAGGGTTTGAGGAAAGCTTATAAAAAGAGGATTAGGGTTTTATTTTTGAAGGACCAAAAACTCACACCACCTTCATCACCAAACCCCAGCAGCCAACTCCTCCGCCACACACCTCCACCATATTCACCACCTTAATCATCATCAACCCTCCTATCTGCCGACCACTACCTCTCCTATATCAATCCCACGCACCACCGAACCTTCCTTCCACCAGCACTTCCACGCATCATCATCAAAACCGTCACTCCACCACTACACCATCAGCCCCGATCTCCACTTCAAAAACCCCTTCCACGCATCAACTTCAATCTCAACTTTTGGCCTACTTCTCCCGGGTTTCATTGTTTTATTAATTTTTGAGATGATGTGTAGCTAAATTATTTAATCTAAGGTTTTGGATGTACCGTACTATTTAATTTAATTTAATTCATGATTGTGACTTTTTCATTAGTTGATATTTAATATTCTTATTTTTATTCTATGTGAGTATTTGATCACCGCTTGCATGCTTTAAAGGTGTTTAACTGAAGGAAACGATGGTTGAAGATTAGCACTAGTTCATGGGAATATTAAATTTAGATAGTGGGCTACGATAGTAGGAACACTGTCTTTGCAGCTATAGATTCTAGGGTTCTTAATGTACTCTAATTAAATCCTATAGTCACGACAGTAGTCATAGGGTTAGTTTGAGTAAGAGAATTATATCATGACAGTGAATAGTTCTTAAATAGGTGAATCGTTGTGAGATTAATGAAAGTCCAAAGTCGCATATCTATAGATTAAATTAAACCGAGTAGTCGGTAGGTGAACCCTTTGCCCTAAGTTTTCTTTTATTTGTGTAAAACCTTAAATTAATTGTAATTGATAGTTTTAGGTTTAGATTAGTTTTAATTGGTAAATTGTTAATCTAAATAATAATAAGAAATAATTTTAACCGGTAGTTGGTAACCTTCTCTGTAGGATCGACCCTGCTTTCTGCTTTACTGCTAGTAATTATATTAAGTACGTAATTAATTATTTGACTAGTGTGACGACGGCTTGTCAGATATTACTCACTTAAGTGTCATTAAAGCAACCATTTACTATCGTTTTCCGTCATGTCACTGTTTTGATGACAGGAATGAGTTGAGGTTACCCCCACAGTGACTATATCAAGTCTTATGATTAGGTTGTCCCTTTGAACCTAGATCTTGGGATCTCCAGTCAACTAGGTTGGATTTTCCTTTTTAAGACTTTTATACTTTATAGGCTACCTCATTCCTTTTGTCATTTCTCAATTATCGTTCTGTTTAACACACATGTTAGCAGATCCGCGATATTATCTTTTGACTTCATGCAGTCAAGATATCTATAGTTGAGAATGATTGTATAATGATACAATATCTATGACAAAGTAATATCTTGGATTACTATCATACAATTGACTACGTGTCATTCCAGATCTATGATTAATGGATCAGTGGCACAATTATCCCCATTCAAAACTAGCGATACCATTTAGCCTTTGTCTCACAACTATCCGATATACACAATTCAGATTGTATTGTGAAGCTGGCTAACATAACCATAGCCACTAGTGTTGTTTGATTCATTGCTACTATATATCCAATTTGTATGTGTACTCTTCTAGCACAGTTGGAAATTTAGTATGATGTAACTCAATACTACGAGTATATCATAAGTACCTTAGTACTCTAACATTGGTTGTCCATATTAACAATCCAACACAATGCTTGATTACTCGTATTTGCACTTCACTAGCTTAATTCATAAGTATTTATTGTAGCGGAACTCATTAGAAGTACTATTCTCTCGATCATCCTTGAGTATTCTACGTACCTAAGTAGTACTCCCCACATAGCTTGGATAACCGAAGAATATCATCTAATGTGGTTCTAGGAACTCTACAATTATTTTTTCTCAAACTCCACAAGAGTTTTGTCTATGATGAGTTTGACTTAAAATAAGACATTGCATCCACGAGAATTTGACCAGTAAAATCACACCGGTAAGCCCCACATGCTAAACACAGATTTAACATGTTAATAGACTTACTACCGACAATCTAGTATGTCTTTCATATAGGCATCCAATGTTTTAGTCTTTCCATGTCCCATTGACGTAGACACATTTTGACATACTCTTTAACTCTTATCGATGATTTTTGGACTTGTTCCAAGACCATAAAAGAGTTTAAAATCTTATTATCAGTATTTAGAGCTTGAAACCCTCGGGTTGCTCTGTATCTAATTTTCCATTGAAGGAAACATCCTTTGATCTTGATCTCAACACGAGAGAATACATATCAAGTAATCTAAACAAACTCATTGTTTATTTACTTTGATTCTTGATGTGACATTAACTTATTTTTAAGTATGATTCTCAAAAATAGAATCGACACTATTTATGGTTTCTCCATAAAGATCCATCACAAGAACTAATAAGTTCGTAAATCATTCCCAACAAATGGGATTCAAATCATTCATATATGATTTTCATTTGGTTC